ACCCCAGCCGTTGACCACCTCTCACGGTACATTTCATTTGCCGTCTCAAACAATGTGCGCACGAGCGGATGGGACCACCCTTGATCACCAACATCGACGAATCGTCAGGGCTTAGCGGTGCATGAAACAAACCTTCCGAAAGACCAGACAGCATAGGCTACAAGCTGTCCAATGCTAAGACCACCGAGATCGCCCTCCACCAACGGCGCGGTACTGATTGAGCATTTTGAGCTCTTGCTATTTGCCAACGCGTCAAGTTGCTACCACAGAGTTTCGTAGAGCGTCCCATCGGTGATCCAGCCCCTCCGCTGTTCTTTCTCCGAGCAGGCATACAGCATGTTAACTCAGCCTTAGAAGTCCGTATTCCAATGAAGGATATGTGGTTCATCGCTATGACATAGGAGCTTCTACCCCTCCATCCCGCTACCTGTCTCTGTTGTCTTCTCTTGTTGTGACTCGACAGTTGGCCTCGGGACTTTATGCTTTTGTTCCGAAATCTCGTGAAAAAGAGCTTGACCCCTCCCAGCTCACCTTCGGAGCAGCCTCCTGCACACTGTTCTACAGATTTCCTTTGCAGTACCAACACTGCCCAATACGAATATGGTGAATACGGGAAAGCCCTCCGGCGGCTGCAAGTTGTGCAGAGCTAGGAGGATCAAATGTGATGAGGGGAAGCCATTCTGCATGAGATGCAAGAAGTCGCGGCGGCAATGTCCAGGTTACCGAGATCCGTTCGAGGCCAACATTCGCGACGAAACGCAGGCGACTATCAAGAGATTCAAGAAGTCTAGAGGTGAAGAGAGTTCTGACGAAGAAGGCAAGGATATCGCGCCCGTTTGCAACAAGCAGTGCTTGAAGACGGTTGCTGGTCCGAAATACAAAACGTTCGATTACTCGAATCCCGGCGCTTTTCCTTATCACAATGACGACGATTCGACCGAAGAAGACGAAGACATTCCGGCGTCCATGTTCAATTCGCTGGATGAGCAGGCCTCTTGCTACTTCCTCTCGGAATTCATCATTGTCCCGTTTACTCCCACGGCCCGAGGATACTACCGGTTTCTCCCTCGATTCCTGAGCGGAACGAACGTCTCCAAATGTCTTTCCCAAGCTTACAAAGCTGTCTCTCTGGCTGCGCTGGCCAGCCGCCGTACGGTAAATGCCAGTGCCGCTCTGTTCCATGCTCAGGGTCACTATCTAAGGGCAGTCCGGGCCGTCAACAAAGCTATAATGGACCCAGGAGAGGTGTTAAATGACCAGACTCTTGGGGCCGTGCTTATGCTGGCTTTCTACGAGGTGAGTCTGCTAGTGTGAACATTTTACAAGACTTCACGCTAACAAGCGGAAGATTTTGACGTCTTCTCGAGACTCCATCGCCGAGTACACCAACCACATGAAGGGTGCGGCAATCATCGTCAAACTAAGGGGTCAAAAGGGTCTCGAGACACCGGAAGGCGAAGAGATGTTCGCAATCACCCGGAACCAGTGCCTCTCCATTCACTGTCTTCCAAACTCTCCCGAAGTATCCGAATTCACATGGCTTCTGCATCATGAATGCCGTGGTCGTATGCAGCACGCCATCGCTAGCATGGATATCCAGAGCAGTCAAATTCGACAAGATGTTGATCGGGTTCTCGGAGCGGGGGATCGCAAGCCAGAGACGATCCAAAAGGTGCTCGATGCCCTTAAGCGTGCACAAGCGTTGGAGGCTAAATTCCGCAAACTCAACAATGATCCCAGCCCGCAGTGGAAAGTCGATACGGTGGAGTGGATACTGGAGCGATCCGACGACGAGCTCGATACGACCCCAACGTTCCCAGGGCCTGTTTACGGGTTCTTCAACTTGCCTCTCGCAATCTTGCATGTGGCCACATGGTGCTGCCATCTGATGCTCACCACAACAATCCTGCGGTGCATGGCCTGGCTTGTGTCCCCCGACGACTACCGGATGGGAGAGGAGTATGAAGAGCTGAAACGCTCGGCCATTCTGCGTATTGAGGATACCATCGCTTCAACTCCTTTCTTCTGCAAATGGAATGGCTACGGCGTGGTCGTAGCTCAGTTCCCCTGCGGCAACACCAAGCCAGACGACCCTTTGAAGGGTGCTGCTGGACTGATGGTCTTGTGGCCCATGGTCACGGCTTGCAGCAGCGACTTTGCGACTCCCAGACAGAGACGCTTCCTGAGGGGTCGTCTCAAATATTTGGCAGAGGTCGCCGGAATCAGGCAGGCCAATGTTTTCTACAATGTAAGTAGTGAAAGCTACCCCGGGAGCCCTGCAATCTGCTAATGAGCATGCCAGATGCACGACATCTCTTCTCCATCCCGAGAAATCGAGCGAGACCGCAGATCTGGCGTCCATTCATCTTCTGGGGCGGACGCCTTGCTAAGCATGCCCTTTTGATATCACACAACACGTACAGACGAGATGAAACGGTCATTTCTTCCTACAGCGAGACGAGACCAGCGATTGTTTCAACTTTCCACATCCTTCATACAAATCACATATTTTTACAGTGCCAGCGTCAGCGACTCTTACATTCCTTGAATTTTGAAAACTGTAAAAGGATTTCCCTCACATTGCTATGATTGTTACGGCCAAAGTTGCAGTTGGTGCGGTGTACATCATTCGAGAGGCGGCCTCTGGAGGCTCCGCTTCCCGCGCGGTGTTGATTTTCTAAAGACAGATGTTTTTTGTTGGTTTTTTACGTCTTTCGGGTCCATGCGGGTTTCTTTCACATCATCAAGCGCTCGTTTCATGCCTCGTTGATTCCAATTTCGTTCAATGTAAGCGGGGAGCGTAGCGTAGGATTTGGTCTCATTGTATTTCTTCTTATTTTATTGGGTTTGGGCGGGTTAAGTAGGGTAGGAAAGCGATAGGCTTAGATGGCTAAGCACGACTTCACGACGATTAGGATGAGTTTGATGTAGGGCAAACTTTTGTTGCCTGTCCAGGAGACTGAGATCCCTCAGAATTTTACAGATGACATACTATGTCCAAGACGTATCCCACGCGTGACGTTCCAGGTCCTACCTCGATCTAGCTTCAAAAAGGAGACAAGGTAAACCGACATGACCAGCCACATACGAGGCGTATCCGTGGGGAAAATTAGCATTCCCAAAACGCCAAACATTCTGTCATCCAACAACAGTGAACCGATACATCACCAGCCTCTCCCAACGATATCTTTACCACAACTCTCGAGCAACACTCACTCACCTCCCACGCCGCCCAACACCGATCCTCTCCTCCCTCGTCCGTCCCCCACGGCCCCCATCCCCCGGCGTAGGCGTAGTCTGCACCCCGCCGCCGCCGCGCCCGCTCTGGCCCCTCTGCGCCCTCATCATCTCCTGCTGCCTCCTGAGCAGCTCCCGCTGCTGCACCTCGTCGTACTCCAAGCTGTCGTCGACGTCGACGTCCGCCGTGAGCATGCTATCGTCGTCTAGACTCTGTTGCTGCTGCTGCTGCTGCTGTTGTTGCTGGAGGCGTTGCATCTGCTGCATCTGGTGGATCTGAGCTTGCGTGTACCTCTGCTGGGGATGCTGCGGCGAAGATTGCTGCTGCTGCGGTACGGGTGACGAGAAGGGATGCTGCTGGTGCTGTGCCTGTTGCTGCTGGAGGATCCGCTGCTGCTGCTGTTGGGCGGCGAGGGCGGCTTGGTGTTGTTGCTGCTGCTGGGCCTGGACGAGGACCTGCCTTTCTCGGACGATGGCCTCGCGGGCGCGGCGGTCTTCGTAGGAGGCGATGTCCTCTGCCGTTATGGCGAGGGTTGTTGCGGGGCGGCGGAGCATGACTTGTGAGATGGGGCTGGTGTTTTCTCTTCTGCGTGGCCTTTTCTTGACCGGAGATGTGCGATGAGGCGGGGGGTTTCAAAGAGGCGATTCAGTGGGTGAAGGAATGCGCGAGTGAGTGAGTGAGTGAGAGGCACCCGTTTGAAGTGAGCGCGGGATTGTGGGGGCGGGAGGTGGTTTAGGGTGCCGTGTGTATGTGATGTGATGTGATGAGTGATGTGAGGCCGGTGGATGATGGAGCTGTAGCCGGGCGGGAAGAGAAGAGGGGGTGCCTGGCTCGATCCTTTCTACGGGATGAAGGGGAGTAGACTGACGTCCCGGAGCTGAGAATTCGGGAGCGTTGTATTCGGGAGGAATGAGAGTTCGTCCGGAGGCGATGATTGATAAGGTAGCCTAGAGTCGTGGCGTGCGTGATAAGTGATGAGTGAGCGTCGTCGGATGAGTCCGTCAAAGTGCCAAGTGAGTTCGCGGCACGGGGGTGCAGCTGAAGACGACGACGGGGGCGGAAATCTGCAACGGGATGTGATGCGATGGTATGCAAGGTACGGAAGTACGTAAACTCGGTGAATCGGTTCGTGGGGGTGGTGCGTTAGTTTCTCTCTATGGAGCTGAGAAAATGTCGTGGTGCTGATATGCAAGTCGAGTCGTTGAGATTTTGGGTTTCCTCTTTTGTTAAAGTTCAGCGCGACCCTGGCGGGACAGGCGACGGCGCGCGTTAAAAAAACATCCATGAATGGTTCGGGTGGGTCAAGGCTCAAGCCGGGGCGATCCGTGGTGGTGGGGGGGGGGGGATGCGTGGGTGCCTTTTTCATAGGGGCCGGCGTTGGCTGCAGTGAGCTGGGTCCACTGTTCCGGCTCAAGCCGGGGGGGGGGGGGGGGGGCTCGGCGGCGTTGGATGACGCCTAGGCCCCTGTGTAGGTGGGAGGAGGGCGGTACTGTAACTGTATGCAAGTCAGCCCTAGGGGATTCGAAATACGCATCTCGTTGCGACGTTGCGATGTTGAATCGTTGGTGCCTGTTTGACAGAAGTTCACTTTGGTGATCTTCTTAGGTAAAGGAGACGTCAGTATCCATGGGATACCGACAGAGGATGAGAGAGGGATTCACAACGCCATACAAGGTAAGTTGGTTGTAACATTACAATACTACGTTAGATACCTAGGTATTCAATTTTACTCTAATCATGATTCCGTGCCGGCAGATGTCGCTCAGTAAATGCCCGTAGCATAGACATTCTCCGCCTCCCATCGCAAGAAATCCCCGAGGTCGTGTCCCAAATTGTATCCCATAGGCACAACCTCGGGCTCCCCATCAGAACCTCTCATCATGACCAGGTCCATCATCGGACTAGGCGGCAGGCTTCCGATGCTCTCCCGGTTCTGCCGTTTGGGGTGCTGTTGCTGGCCCTCCATCGTCCACCGCCGAATGTTGCACCCTTGCGTCAGGAACTTGGACACGTTGACGTTACCCTCGTTCCAGAACCCAGTAGGGTGCTCAGCCTTCACAGGAATGGGCAGGTCGCTGTCCCGCGAGACTCTGCCAAAGGCCTTTGGCGAGCAGTCCACGGTGGACGCGCGGGACCTTTGTTGCAGCCGCCTCGTCGGCTCATCGGCGTCGCTGGTGAGCAGGCGACCGTGGCTGTCGAAGCCGAAGCCATCGAACCACGCTGTAAGGTCGGCAATCTCTTCGGCCTCTGTTCTCTGCAAAAAATCTGCGGGGTCTGAGAAGAGGTCGCCCGCGCCGCCGAGGATAGCCATCTGGAAGGCCGTCCAGTCGAGCGTATCATCGGGGTCGATTTTCAGCCCCTTGACGACTTCTGACTTGGGAAAACGTATGTTGCCGTGTTTGAAGGCTGAATGATTGAATGTGAATGGTGTTGATGGGAAAAATACAAAGTCGTCTTCGTCAACGGGTGCGAATGTTCGTGCATGCCTGTTGCTGTGTTTTGCTGATTGGGCTCCCACGTCGGGCGTGGTGACGACTACTTCGGGAATCGTCGGTAACAGCGGCACCTGCGGCCTAGGAAGAAATCTCGCCGGGTTCTTTGCTGGTGGAGGAGGAGCAGCCTGCATCAGATCCTCAGCTTCGTATTCATCCTTGGACACAGGCTTCTTCCTCCGCGGCGACTTTTCTTTGAAAGACAAGTCTCGTAGTACACTTGGGTCGAGAAGGTCGGGTGGAGTCATAGCCTCAGAAGGCGTGATGGAGGTCTTTGCCCCAGCTGCTCCAATGCGGGAAAGGAGGTCTTGTAGGTGAAAGGGCTCAACGGGCGTCTCGCTTCCATCGGTGCTTACAGTCCTCAGAGTATCGCTCGATCGGCGTGGCTGTCCTTGAGACTCCCTCTCCACTCGTAGTGCATGAAGACGATCCGGTGTAAGAAGTTCATCAACTTCTACTTTACGGAAGAATTGTCCGGTGAGGATGTCGGCTACATCTTCTCCCAGCTGCCACCGGGCAGACTTCTTCGATCTCATCTTGACCCGTTTTGATTTTTTTGACTTTTGTCTCCTCGGCTTCGAGGCAGATGATACCGAGGTGCTCAGCGATGGAGGAGGCAGCGCTGGGGTGCTGTTTCGAGACTGTAGACCCAGCAGTGGAAGGCTTGGTGAGTCAGGCTTCGCTATGTTAGGAGGGGTTGGTGATGTCGACCCGGAGCCCGTCTCGATATGTGACGGGAAAGTTGAAACGGCCATCTTCGCTTCTTCGATTGCTGTTCCTACGGCCTTGAAGGCTTCATCGGTTTCTCTGATGAGTTGCTGGACATTGAGGGACCAGCGGTCCAAGTCGTCGTCTTCTGGGGTAGGTGGAGGGGTCATGGTCTCTCTGAACGCGGGATGTTCTGATAGATCTATGTCGCCAGCCTCTTGAGCCTTGATGACCGCTTCTGTCGATAGTGGTCTGGGCTTTCTGCTTGGAGGTGGTGATAGAGGGGAGATGCAGAGGTGTCGACGTTCGGCGAGACGTTTCGGGGCCGTTGATCGAGAGGGCCTCTCTTGGAGTCGTGGGGAACAAAGAGTGCCATAGCTGGTGTTGGTCGAGGATGTGTCTGTATAACACTCGCAACTGCACAAAGAACTCGACGACGAATGTGGTGATCCCTGTGGGCAAGATGGCCCCTCTGTCGGTATCCTCTTGATGCTTTGTGTTCTTCGTACGAGGGTCTCCTCCCTCGATGGTCTTCTGGGCTTGGGGTTGGATGGACGCCTGACTGGCGCCCAAGACTTTGATTTTTGTTGTTTCCTTCGAGACTTGAACAGTGAAATATCCTCGCTTCCAACAGAGTCTCCGGAATGACGGCGCTCATCTATCGTCTGAGACCGGCGAGGTGAGATAAGCCTCCGTATGCTAAAGCTCGACCGAGACATCCTGTCGAATACTTGGGCGTACAAAGGGAATTCATGCAGCAGTTCAAGAACAGTATGGGTTCACCACGTCTAGTACATGCCATATATGATAATACGAAAGGGGAGGGGAGGGAATATCTTGCAGTCCTTAACGAGTGACGTGACTGGGAAGGAGATCCATGACCGGGGGAATGAGCCCAAGGACAAAGGGGGAAGGAATAATAGATGCCATCTGGAGACATGGGCAGAGACCGAGGACTGGCTTGTATGTATGTTGTTCTGGATCTGCGCGTAGGACAAACAAAAGCAAGCGAGTCGGGGCCATCTTGGACCAGCTGATGATTGTGCCCGTACCCAATACAGTACCTATCATGGTCGGATTGGGGGTGTTAGTCAGGGAGACTATCAGCTTGGGATGGGCAGATCTACTTACCCATGGACAATGACAGGTGGAGGGTGGTAATGGAAGTGGTCGTGTGTGTGTGTGTGGTGCGGTGCGGTGCTGTGTATGCATGTTGCGGCGGTGCAAAAAGCCAACCTGGCCCCTGTCTGGTCGTGCAGGCAAACTGCGTGAGAGCGGAGGCTGCAGAGTCGTGTCTTGTCAGTCCGGCCGGGGGTTGCTCGCTGCCCGGCTCCCGTTATTTTGGTATTCAGCCATTGGTTATGTCTGTGGGTTGCTATTACTGGCTTTTGTGACTTTCAAAAGTACAATTCTTCTCGAGGGGGGGCGGGAGACTTCTCCGGAGGGATCTTGGGGTGGTAGGCGGCCCCAGAAGGAGGGTGGCATCGCATCTGTTCATCGCCGGCCTTTCCAGCGTGAGATATGTGATTGTTGCGAACAAATGAATCCATATTGCTTTGCTGTTATGTTTGGAACACCTTGTCGCCCTCTTCAATCTCGTCTTCCATGTTTCCCTCCCCAGTCCCATCGAGCATCGTGCAGTCAGCCTTATGAAGTGATTAACAGCGAAGCCATCGAGACAATATGGAACATCGTGGCCGGCACAGAGCGCGGGATTCAGCAGGATTCGCTCCATCTTACTATTGGCGCTGGTCGTCGTACTAAACGACAAACCATCGGTCAGCTGCATTCTAGAGCGAGATGCAACTCGATAGAAGTCCTCGCCGTACGACGACGCGGGCGGCGACGTGCAGAGAGGAGCAACCAGTTGGATGTAATCCGGCCCGTAACCCTGGCACCTACTTGCCAGCCACGCCCGAGGGTTTTGCGAAAGCTCAAAAGTAACGAAAGCAGGAGAAACAGCTAGCTGTTCAGCGTCCTGACAAGGAAAACGACGGCTGGTGCCCAGAGAGCACAACATATTGCCAGCGGAAAACGTCGAAACGGTGACAGCTCGCTCCCAGGAAAGCCATGGAACCGGATCGTGCCCTGCTCGCCTGTGGTAGCTAGGATTGACCGGCCATGCCGCAATCTCAAGAATGAAAAGCCGGTGGTTACCAGCGAACTGCTGACCGATGACGATCTTCCAGATGGATGCCCTCAAGTGCCGAGTCTCACCTCACTCTCACCGACCGGCGACCGGTAAGCACTTGCTTGGCCGCAGTTGAGACAGCAGCGACTCGCTGCTTCCAACGAGTGACTATTCCCTTATCTTCCAGGTTGGTGTGGGCAGCGCAGCCCTCTAGGACAAGCTGCAGGAAATCAGTCCCTCATCGAGGGGCCCTGAACCCGAACAATCCAGATTCCAGGTAGGGAACTGACGGGGCAAGGCAATCCCCAGGCTCGCCAGTGTCAATCATTCGGCATTATCCGCGTCCACCGGACGCACGCCGAGAAGATGCAGAGCCTCTAGTACCGAACGAGGGGTAGGACGCGAATCGATACTGCCGGGGGATACGACGCGGAACTTGGAAGATGGAGACGTTGGCCTCCAGGCCACGTTCTCCTGCGTATTCCCGCTGACGCGATGTGGGAATGGATGAGTATTGAGGGGTGGTTTGTTTCAGGAAACAGCATGCGTTCGAGGACAGGAAGAGAATCTTCACCCATCACAGGCTGAAATGGGCTTTGTGGATGTCCCCGAGTCTGCAGAGTCTTCTCATCCACCGTTTGTTAGTCAGACAAGCCAAAGGGCGTGGCCAAGCTGACGAAAAGGGGGGGGGGGGGCCTGAAGACTGCTTCTCTTAGTCTTTCCCCATCCTCTCTCCCGGCGGCCGTAAACGGGCAAGCAGAATATCAACCGGTGACGTCCATCGTACATGGCATGCCGATGTTGGTTGGCTGGCTCGTCGGCCAAGGCGGTGATGAAGAAGCAAAGGGTTCGTGTTCGTTACCGTCCAGTAGCCAGTCCAGCTGATTTGTGGTGGCTAAGTTGTGCGGTTGCCAACCACCTAACCAAGGTTCAGATGCGTTGCGGATAAGTTGGGCATGGGCTTTTAGCGGCCGCTCATAAGGTAGATTGCCCCCACAGTTGCCCGCCAGCTGACATCTAAACTGAGTTGAACTTGCCAGGGCGCCCTGCTCCCTCTCTCTCTCTCTTTTTCTGGTCCCTGACATGCTGGTAAACACCCACGCGCAACACAAACACCAGAGACACCATTAACCTTCCTGGCCCTTGCAAGATCTCATATTTGTGCCCTGAACTAGCCATTCAGTCTGGGGGCCGCGGCGGCTGTGGAGGGCTGCCGTTGGTCTTGGATCCTTAAAGCTGTCGTTTGAAAACCTGGCTGTTCAGAGAAGAATCAGGCGAGCCAACTGCCCATTTCCACTCTCGTCTGCCAACCAGCACCACCGCATTCAAACAAAGAAAACGTTTGCTCTTTCCTTCTGCATTTTTCAAGACCACTGAACAAACCTTGTCTCACTTGATCTCTGCTGTTTCGCCCCAGGCGCGGTTGCCGCACAACTTCAACCTTCCAACAACTCTGCTCGATTCTTCATTTTTGACTTCTCTTCTGGGAAGACTGGCTTTGGTTGACCTTGCCTAAAAACCGTTGAGAGTGAGGAAGCGAGTAATACACCTAAACTCTACCAGGCCAAGGCCAAGACAAGACAGCCTTAGAAGGCTAGCCGTTCTATTTCCGACCTCACGAATGGCACCTTGAGCCGGCAGCTTCTGCCCTCCTGCTACCAGAAAAAAATCCCCCTGTCCTTCTAAACCCCCTGCCATCCGCCCGCCCGCGTTACATTGAATGCCCCTCGAGGTTGGCGGTTCGCATTACACTTACAGTGGGAGCTGAGACATCGTGGTTCGTCCTCTCCAGCTTCCCTGAGGCAGGCTTGCTTTTTCCTTTCGAGTCTTTTTCTATTTCATGTAGAAAAGCTGTCGGCCTCGGTGATTTCTGGCCCCATGTCCTCCACCCTGGCTGGTAAACCCCATATCTATCGTCTGCCGTCCCGTCCGTATTTTCCATGGATTTCCCTTGGTGCTCCTGCTGTTCAGTGCGTGTGGCCCGTGGAGTCCGTACGGACGTAAACACGCACAAAGCCCCAACATGGTATCATTCGATTCTCCTCAGCAGCTCAGGACACTCTCTAGTCTTTGGGTTTACCTCCTAGATCCGATCCTGCCGAGAAAAGGTCCGCAATGGAAGTAATATAATGATTCTTAAGGGTGGAGACTGCATACGGACGTACAGTATTACAGATCGACGCGCGCAAAGGCACGATGAGGTCCGTCAGTGGCGGCAGAGAGAGGGCCTGCCTGCCTTGCCAAATGCCAATTTAAGGTACGATTGCAACCAGATCCTCACCTCTTTCGGCCGGTCAGCGTCGGATTCGCGAGCCGCTGCCAAATCTGGCTCTTCAGTTGAGTTGTTACGAGCATATACGGGCGGTATGTCAGCACGGGAAAAGACAGTCACGTTGGGAGGGTTTTGATGTAAAAGGTGTTGGGTATTAATCTGATTGGCTCGGGCTGCCGAGTCCAAATCTTGCTATTAGTTGCGCGATGTCGCGTCGCTAGCATCTCATCCTTCTAACCTCATCCCGACTCTACGGCCCTTGTGTTGGCCTTTTTTGTCTGGTAGATGATGATTCCTTCTACAAAAGAGAATATAGGCTCAATTCGTGGCCTATTCCTGGACGTCTTCCAACCGCCCAAACTTTCTACCCTTGCCAAGTGGCAAAAGGCGAGCAAGCGCCGTTGATAATGACTGCATACGAGTGCGTCGATAATCATTCGAAATAGGAATGATCGAGTAAATAATGTTATTTGACTCAAGGGAAGAATATGGTAGTGAGCTGGTATAGTCTACCATCTTGATGGACTCTTTGGAACGTCGTAGTCTGACGACATGGGGCCTCCCGGAGGAGGCCGAATCCAAGAATGGTAACTTTCCGGGTATCGAATGTTGTATTTTTGAAGTTTTTGTTGTTTGTATGATCGGTCATCCGAGATCGGTGATTCTTCACATAATCTCGCTTTGCTTGCGGATCTCCTTGGAGGTAGTCGTCTTCATGAACGACTTGGCCGCGTGGCGGGGCACGTAAGCGGCCTGCTTCGGCTGGT